CATACATACATACATACACATATATATATATATATATATATATATTACGGTATTCACGAGGACAGCTACATCTTCTCTTCATATTTTCAACAGCAGTCGTAACTACGCCAACAGACGCATTCGTCTGAAAGTCACCAGTTAACAGGGTTGCTTGATAAACCGAAACACCTAGCTTCGGTAGCTATCATTGGTAGCTTCTTTAGCATGCTAGCATTAGCTACATTGCTACTTTGCTACCGTTGGAATTTTAGTCGAGCCGTTTGTTTTCAGCCCACTTGTTTAACATATGTTGGTTGTGTAAACGATTTTTTTTACAATACAATACCTACAATATATAGTGAAACACTGCTCGTTAAATTTACATATTTGCGTGTGGAGCATTTCCGGGGTGATTTTATAACTTTTGAACACATGATACATCGTGCCACCGAGAGATTGTGTCACACTCCCCGCAGACCTGTCCCCCGGCCCCAGCGTTCATGTCCACTGCGGTGATAGTAGCCGCTGTTGTCGGCGGTGGCATACTGCTCTTCCTGCGCCGTTTGTTCCCACGACAGAAAGCTGCACAGCTCCTCCGGTATCCAGCCGACACTATGCGAGGAAAGACGGTCATCGTGACCGGGGCTAACTGCGGGATAGGGAAGGCCCTAGCCGGGGAGCTGCTAAAGCTCCATGCCCGGGTCATCATGGCCTGTCGGGACCAGCGGAGCGCCGAGGAGGCGGCTGAGGACATCAAGAAACAAGCGGGACCAGAGCAGGGGGAGGTGGTCATCAAACACCTGGACCTCGCTTCTCTTACATCAGTCCGGAAATTTTGTGAGGAAATCCAAGAGGTAAAATGAGATGATAGGCTACTACAATAGATGGAGTAGTTAGTTTTTTTTTTCCAGCTGAGTTGACAGTTTGTTTAGCTGCTAGATATCAGTTTAGCTTTTTAAATGACAGACTGTCTAGTTCATTCCAGCCATTGTCATGTCCAATACTAAGGAGAGCTTTACATGTACTTCAGCTGCAAAGGGGACTGTCCATGGTGCTGAACTTCAGTATTGATCCTTACCACTGATAAGGGACAGTGCACATTCATAAAACATTCCTGTAAATGCGCCAGCGTTAACCAAGAGGCTATTTGTCATCTGTATTCCCAGGGCAGTTGTTACAAAGTCACCTTAAAAACAGAATATAACATTAAATTGACAAAGTTATGCAATATTTACCCTTTACAAAGCATGCAGAAACAATGAAAAAGAGGGAGTATTACTATAAGTAGAAACATCATTCAGGACACTCTTATACTACATTGTCAAGTACTAACAAGACATGCAACACAGAGGCTCACAAAACAACACATACAAAGCCAATAAATGAGTGCAAATTATGTTAAATAGAAACAATTAATAAATATCATAGATATCAGTGTGATCACCTATAATGAGAGTCTGACAACAGTCACTTAAGCTGAGCCAAACATCCTTTTGATTCTTCATTCAGTACAAGTCAGATTACAAAAATGAGGGTTGCAACCAGCAATTGATCATTTTTGTGAATAAAACACACAAACAAGTGTCCATCACAATTCTCTAAAGCCCAATGTAACATCTTCAAATGTCTTGTTTTGTCCAACCAATCAATTTACTATCTTGTAAAACAAAGAAAAGCAGGAAGTTGGGACATTTATTTGATTAAACATTACTGAAACAATTTATCAATTATCAAAACAGTTATATCCAGCTCTATGTTACTATTATAGCATATTGTTTATTAATGAAGAAATATCTATATTTCCTTTCGTTTATATGCAAAGGTGTTTTAGTCGTTGATGTCATCAAGTTTCAATTTAGCAGTTTTAAATGATTTAAATTTCTCTGACCCTTTAGGAGGAATCCAGGATTGACGTGCTCATCAACAACGCAGGAGTCTACCAGTGTCCCTACACAAAGACAGAGGATGGTTTTGAAATGCAGCTGGGTGTGAATCACCTGGGTCACTTCCTCCTCACCCGCCTCCTGCTGGACCTCCTGAAGACTTCAGCTCCCAGCCGCATCGTCGTGGTTTCCTCGAAGCTTTACAAGAACGGCCACATCAACTTCGATGACCTGAATAGCGAAAGCCAATACGATAAGGCCTTCTGCTACAGTCAGAGCAAGTTGGCCAACTTGCTGTTCACGCTCGAACTGGCTCGCGAGCTGGAGGGCACGGGGGTCACGGTCAACGCTCTCACCCCAGGCATCGTGAGGACCAGACTGGGCAGGCATGTACAAATCCCTCTCCTGGCGAAGCCGCTGTTCTACCTCGCCTCGCAGGTCTTTTTTAAGAGTCCATTGGAGGGGGCCCAGACTCCTCTCTATCTGGCCTGCTCCCCTGAGGTGGAGGGAGTGTCGGGGAAGTGTTTCGCTAACTGTAAGGAGGAGGAGCTGATGGCCAAAGCTACAGATGAGCAGGCAGCCAAGAAACTGTGGGACCTAAGCAGCAGGATGGTTGGACTCCCTAACTGAGCAGAGTACTGTAATGTGGATGGTATGTATTCAATAAAAAAATAAAATAAAAAGCAACCCCACAGACACTGCTCTGCAGGAGATGGCTTTTGAAAAGACTGATTGCCACCATGGGGATAAAACCATTAATTGAATGACATATTGTGCCAATGAAGTGTGTGAATTTGTGAGCAAAAGTGTGCGTTGCAGTGTGTTGAGCACAAAATGTATAAAGCTTTGAATAAAAAAAGATGGTTCAAACAGAGATGCATCGCTGTGTGAAATGATTTCTGCTTTTTATTGACCTGCACCACAATATCTAACCCTGTGAAAAAGTCTTCATCATGAACATGAATATATGTACAAAGCCAATAAAAACACCTCGGTACCTGTATACATGCACAAGAAGTCCGTGTTCTCCTGCAGACATTTATTTAGCTGGGGAAATCTTCCTGTAACCTGTTTATGGAAAAAGGGTTTCTTGTTTAATTACTTGACATTCAAGAAATCAGCTTACTGCAGAAAGATGTAACCCAGCTAGTGAAGACTACAAGAGCATTCACATGAAGTTGTGACTTTTTGTCTTCCTGGAAAGACACTCGGGGAACATGCTAAGATGCTAAGAGGACACACGCTGAACAGTATTTTACTGTCAAAACTACTTTCACACAGTGAAGGAAATTCAGAAACATTTCAGTGCAAACATGCAGAAATAAGAACTGAAACAAAATCATCTGTGTCCAGCAAACCTGGTCAGTCTTGTTTTATGAATACAAAACCTTGATCTTTCTTTATGGCAGCAGTGACCAAGATTCACACACGCATCGAGATCAAGCTCATCTCCTCGTGGTATCCATCAAAGCCCGAGCTGAGTTGTCACCTTCTCCATTGTGAGGTCACATTATTTGTCGTGCTGTGCAAATCCTTAGAAGAGCAGATCCATTCCTACTTCAGTTATTGTACTTGAATGCTAAATTTGTGCATGCTTTAGCATGCATTAGGCAGTGTAAAAAGAAAGAGGAGGTGGGGTGGAAGCCATTAATGTTGATGTGTTTGAAGTGTAAATGATTTCTGCTGTGTCTGAAGGAGACTTATAAATAAGGTTGACAATGTAAATCAGTGACACGCTGCTGCACCGTGACTCCCTCCTGTGGAAGGATTTAATCTCACATGTAAGTCCTCTTTCACCTCGGCAGGAAAGAGATATAGCAATAAATACAGTGTGATATTCAGATGCATAAGTATGAATACAAGATGATTCCTGAAATCACTGTCACATACAGTATGTGATAATAAAACAACTGTTTGCTGAGAATGCTGGATTTAGAGGTTGGACTAATTACGCCTGCAATTAACTATTATTTTCCTCATATCTCCCAAAAATAATAATCGGCCAATTATTGTTGTCATTTGGTCTGTAGATAACAGAAAAACCACAATCACAATTACCTAAAGCCTAATGGGAAGTCTTAAAATGTCTTGTTTTGTCTGACCAATATTTCAAAACCCAAATATATGCCGTTTACTATTACAGAGGATACAGAAGAGCAGCTAATTATTACATCAGAGAAGCTGGAACTTAAGAAATGTTGGCATTTTTGCTTGAAAAATAGTTGCTTTAATTCTTTGTTCATTGATTAATCATCCTTCCGAGGGGAGGTGATGTGTTGCTTTGTTTCACCAACAGTCTGCACTAAAAGATGTATGACTAATTGTTTTGGCCCGACACCTCATTGCAATATATTGATCTAAAAAAAGTTTAAAGGAATACTTCACCCACAAAATAACCGTTTGTATATCAATTACACACCCGTGTAAATTCTGCTTTTCTCGCATGAATCCACGGTGAACAAAGAAACACATGCATCTTAGCAAAAACCTCACTATTTTAAACACTTGGGACTCGTCCGGACTCACACGGACGAGTGCCCGTGCAAGCGTGAGACTGTTTATGCAGAAGTGTTTTAAATAGTAAGGTTTTAGCGAAGGTGCATGTTTGGGAAGTAGTGAGTATACGACTGGATAAATGAGACTTTCGGGAGGATTGTACTGCATGAGTTTTGTGAGTTTGTAAACGGATGTAATGATATAGATTTGATGTTTGATTGGCCCCCATTTGCTTCCATTCGTCAAGACTTTTCTGTTTTTCCATTCTCCGTTCACCGTGTGGCGACATGTGAGAATTCAAGGTAACACGGGGTGATTAATTGATATACAGTTATTTTGTGGATCAAGTATTCCTTTAATCAGCAAACCAATCATAGCACAGTTTCATCAATACTGTATGAAACTTCACAAATGTGGAATTTACTGAAGGGATAATTTTTTAGATATATATTTTAAGGTATTCTATTTATTTCGTCCACACTGTGTATATTTAGTGCCATCATGACACTTGTACCATGCAGCAGAAGAGGAATTGCTTCTGTATGTTGAGTATTAAGTGTTATTTAATGCGTTTGATATGACAATAACTCACACCATAACAAACATTTCCTTGTAGTAATGTAGTGAACAAATAAACCTCTTTCTGTTTTTAGCTTGCTGATCTTGACAACAATCCGCCTCTACAAACCTAATTTTAAATTCACAACAGTGATAGAGCAGGGCTTGGTAGTGACTCAGCAGGCACGCACCACATGGCTGCAGCAATGTGAGTTTGAATAAGAAAGGGTCTCCCTCTTGGTTCAATCACTCAACTTGGATCAGCAGACATGTAATTTTCTTAAAACAACAACCGATCATATGTATACGTGCAAATCCCCCCCAAAGCAACATTTCAACATTAAAAGGAAGGCGTGGGAACGCATATGTATAACTTGTGCTTTATTAGGCGAACAAAACAACCAAAATATATAAACATGCATCGTATGTCAAAGAAACAGGGTTACAGTGGCTTGATGGGGGTGTGGGCATCCAAATCTGAGGTAGAATGGGGGGCAGGAAAACCTCTCCAGGGGATATATAAGAGCAAAGATAAAATAATACTGACTGCAAAGACAGATCTCAAAATGTTCCATCAACAACAACATAACACACCCACCGATACCGTCAAATTCAATCAACAGAAGAAAAACTAAACGTATGTTTCTCATTTTAGGGATTCATTGATTTTGTTGTCCTCATATGTTCAACATTAACACTTAAAGCCTCACAAGGCCAGCACTGATTCAGTCCATTCAAAATAAGGACTGAATCTATGTGCAGTTTATATGCGCGTCAGTTCTCAATTAAATTACCTCTCTGAGTTTTCAAATTTAGGATTGGCAGTTTTTAATCTATATACAAGTTCCCGGTTTATCAAGAGGATTTGCATTTCGTTGGATTGATTTGGATGTATATCTTGCTAACAGCTACATACAAAATATATCACTCAATTTTTAGTTATAAGTATATATTTATACATTTGTAATTTAAATACATACACATTCTTACAAATTGTACGTGCTGCTTGAGCTTCTCACCATCCAACTCTTTTAACGTGACTTACAGTACTTGCTCAGGACAATTGTAGTGTAAACTGTTGCCATCCATTGCCATAAGATCAAAGCTTTTTAAATACTCAGCAATAGTTACATGTTCAACAGAAGGTGTAGCCGGACATAGCAGGGGCCTTGCGTCTTCAGTTCAGAAGTGTCCCATAGAGCTGGGCCTTGGTCAGACTGTCCTTCCTGGAAAGTCCCAAGGAGCCAAATTTTTGGTTGTACGGAGGAAGGGGGGGTGGGGGCGGTGGTGGCAACTGGCTCTCCTGTGCAGGCAGGCTGTGCATCTCCACTTGGTAGTGCTGCAGTTCTGCGGCCATCTCCAGGGACCTCTGGTTCAGAGACTCGGTAGAGCTGTTGGGGCTGGGGTCTACATAATCCGTGCTCTGGCCGCCAGCTGCCACGTTACCCTCCCTGTCTTTGGAGCTCCCTGAGTGGTAGAGGCTGTGCTCCGACCCCTGGCTGTCCTCGGCTCGGTACAGGTGGGCTTGGCTATGAGCCTGCCGCAGCCCTGGGCTGCAGTCGGGGCTTGGGCTGGTGGCTACCCACGGCGGGTCCGCGACACCCCCTCCGTGATGGTAACAGTCAGCCCCCTCCTGGAAGCTGCTGTAGAGCGGGCCGAGTCGGATCTTGGAAGGCCGGACGGAGAAGTGCTGCTCTGAGAAGCTGTAAGGGGAGGCCCGGCCCGGGCTGCGGTAGGTGTGGGCACTCAAGTCCTCCACGCTAAGTTGTCTCCATCGACCAATCAGCTCCTCCTCCTCGGGGGCAAATGTGCTGCCTCGACGGCTGTCTCCGTAGGCAACGCTCGGGGATGAAGAGGGAGGGAGCGGCTCATACGGCTCGCTGAAGCAGGAGGACATGGTGCGGCTGTAGACAGGCGAGCTGCCGTTCTGGTGGTGGCTCAGCTCCGTCTGCTGGAAGGGATGTGCGTTAGCAAAGCCTCTTGGACTGTCCCTCTCCCAGGATGAGTCACTCTTTCTCTCATAGTCCCCTGCATCTCTCCACTCCATGTAGAGGGAATGGTGGTGCGGGGAGGAAGCTGCACTGCTGGGCGGACCGTTGCCTTTGTCTTCGGACCCCCCTCCACTGAAGCTGGAGTAGGAGCTGGAGCCTGCACCCAGTGTGGCAGGGAACTTCGCAAAGTGCTCCTGGGAGAAGCCAACCCTCAAGCCCACAGAGCCCTCCTCTGGGTTGCTGTCGGTGGAGATTTGGGGCCCGTATAGAAGCTTCCTCTGACCGTGGAGATCCATGCTGGGCCTCCGCTCACGGTGCCGGTCATCAGGGCAGTACAGCGCAGTGTCGCTGCTGTACAGGTCAGATTTGTAGGCTGCGCGGAGCCCCAGCCGCTCTCCTGGTCCCAAGCTCTCCAAGATAAACGCATGGTCCTGGGTTTGGGGGCTGGGGGAGCGGGAGGCCTGGCAGCTGCTGCAGGCCTTGTCTGGCTTCTCCAGCACTTTGCCAATGAGAGAGGCCGGGACAGAGTCGGAGTAAGTGTGGCAGAGAGGAGGCTCCTCCATGTGCATGGTCAGTCGCTCCTGAAAATCAGCCGGCAGCTACAAGTGTCAGAGAAAAGAGAAGGGAAGGAAAATACATGTGACATAAGTGTTGCTGTGCCAACAGATGGAGATGCACTGTAGCAATACTTTCTCTACTGATGATTGTTTGAGGGGGGTTTTGCAACTACAACATTTCCAGGCTTTGAAATTCTCTTCAGTGTCAATGGTTTCTTGGACACTTTGAAGACTTGAAAAGACTCCTTGGACGCCGACTATAATCAGAAGGTCTACCAGGCTGTTACATATAAAGGTGCGTCAGACTGTGTGACAATTGTGTACGTTTATTGTATGTCACACTGAGCGATAGGTCTAATGAAAGCTCGCTCACAATCTGTGTCAGATTGTGCTATGAATGCATGGCGAATTGTAAGCACTGCAATGTAAATAGGAAATAGTGAGAATGCATCTCTGCAAGCTTTTCGTCTTTGCCGGAGTCCCACAAACCTTTTCATTACTCACTTGCTGGATCTTATTTTCTTATTTTACTGGGGAAATATCAAATTCACATATGCGAGTGGTGCAACAGACGTCCCTCTCTCTATTTAATTCGAGTTGATAGATTTATTTTTAAAGTCTCAAATTTATATCTAAGATGAACAGACAACTAAAGATTTGAATACTGATATTCCTATTTACTTTTGGCTTGCTCGTATTTCAACGGTATGTCTATGTCTTGTGCCTGGTTTCTTTATTGTTCCCTTTGTTCAGTGTTTGTTTCTTGCATTGATGAATAAAAGCTGGAGCAAAAAAAGAAAGTATTTTTCAGTTTCGCCCCCATCATTGGGAGTGTTTTTTTTCTTCCAAAATGTATTAAAAATGGTGCTTAAAAATGTGTATTGTCCTTCATTTTATGTTGTATTCTGATAGGTTGGTTTGAAGATGTTGGTTGTAGCAACAGTCAAGATTGTGAGAATATGGTTCCTAAATTTCCGACAATGTCAGCAATTTGAAGAAGGTTGTCTTTGGTCAGTGGACGAGTGTCCATGTGGTCTAGGACCACCTTTTTGGATTGATCCACATCCCACATTGTAAAGGGGCCTTAACATGATAACTCTGTATTGCATGAATACTCAGTGTACATTTGTAGTAAGATATCTAACTCATACTACAGTTTACTTTCTTAACTAAATGTATTGCAGTTTCTCGTCCCTGTGCAGTGCAGTGTGCATGTCAGTATGTCACATAGTATAGTGGTGGGAGTATGCCACCACAACATACACCTCTGCATTTACCTGACTTGTCAGGAATAATTATGTTTGTGTCTTTTTTGTCTTGTCATTTTCAAGTGACAAGAGCCGTAAGAAAGAGAAGTGAGAATGAAGGTGAACTGAGTCTCTAGAAGTTGTTCTATTCTGAGCATTTCTAAATGAAAAAAAAAAAGCCTCCATCTACTATATGTGCCTCTCCATAGCAACAAGCATGAAGCAAACTGCAGCCCATCAGCAACAGGAATCTAGTCAGTTGTTCCTAATAAGCAATGAGAGGCGAGCTAATTTTAACTTTGTAGATAGAGGAAAGACTAACACCAAAAGACGTTTTTATCAAAACAGTTTTACTACAACTTGAACCAAACTAAAAGCCCGTCCATACATTGCCCGTCACTTGGGCTTGTTTTGCACAGGATCACAATTAGCTTTTATGTGGCATTTCAGAAATCCGAGCCTAATCGTTTCACGCCCTCGCTGTGGTTGTTTTGCAGCAAAAACAAACGGCTGGAGCACTTCAGTAGGCGCTGAAGGGCCACTGCACTCCTCAAAATGCTGCAGCACAATTCATCAATATGCTTCCGATTAGCTCCCACCCACAGGAGACAGGTGGACATACAGAGCGTGCATGTACCGCCTCTGACCTGCACTCTGTTTGGCAGTAGCCCTGCATAGCAGTGTTTCCCTCCATTACCAATCCTATACTCTGTACAGCGAGGGTGGGTATTTGTTTTTGTGTAAGGGGATATTTTATCAGCCGTACGCAACCAAATGCAGTTTGCATTGATATTTCCATTCAGCCATATGGGCGAAAAACGTGTGGAGGCATGCTTTAACCGCATGGAGACTTGGCAACTTTAAAAGCCACCCCTGTCACATAGGCACAAGGCCAGGGCTGATGCAGCGGAAAGTGGCACCAAGCTGGCCCGGCGTTAAAGCACTCATCGATATCCACACGCATCTTTTCACAAGCAGCAGCGGGGGTATAGCATGATGAGGCTGCAGTGCAGTTTTAGCTCCTTGAACAGTTAACTGTCCCTCACATGTGTGCACAAATTGCCTTGGAGTAGTTTCAGTTGTGCTTCAGACTTAATCATTGTCATAAAATGACATGATTACTAAACCCAGTGCAGTATAATTACACTCTGGCTTAGCTGCATGTTTAGTGACAGGAAGAGAATGACCTGAGAGGACTCCTGTCTCACTGATCGCGGTGCAAACACAAGATTTGTGCTACTGTTGTTTTTCACATCAAAGCCTGTAAGTAATATCAGTTAATTTTAATGAGAATGAAAGGAGAGGTAGAACAGTGAAGAAATACCTTGTTGCAAGTAACAGTCATGCATTTCAAAAGCATCAAAATATACTTAAGTTACAAAAAGTAAAAGTGCTCATTACTGCAAAATAGACCATTTCAAAGTTATATGTATTATATAATTGTATTTGAATTATTGATGCATTCATGTCTAAGCATCACTTTCATGTTGCAGCTGGTAAAGGTGGGTTGCTTAATCTATAATAATTCATAGTTAAAATGTTAATACTATTTCGTATTAATAATCTGCCAAATAAATGTAGTAGAGTAAAACGTATGTTTCCCTTAGACATGTGGTGGACAAAGTCGCATAAATAGAAGCAAAGTACCTCAAAATTGTATGTAAGTAAGTACTTGAGTAAATGTATTCATTTAATTTCCATCACTGGTTTATGTTGGCAATTTGTAAAAAAAAAGCTGCAACTTCTACATTTTTTATGGTTTGATATATAATAAATAGACAAATGTATAAGAGGAAAAGTTATAGTCAATGAAAAGCAAAGTAAAAGTTTTTAAATAACCTTTCAACCTAAAAAAGTAGTGACTGTTGAATTTGTCTCTGTAATATATTGAAATGGAAATGTAATGATAATTATTAGTATAATAATATTTTGATCAATTTGCATGTTATATCGTTTTAATAATTTCAATAGTTTAAGTAAAAAGAAATAAACAAAACCATTTTCACACTTGAATGGTAAATATAATATAATAATACTATGATTTTTCATTCATCCTTGACCAAAATAAATCATGGCTTTCACGGCATAATTACTGTTTCTAAAGTAAATGATTATGTCTAGATTCTCCAGTATCATGTTCAGCTGTGTTAAATTAGCTTCAAACCTCAGTTGAAGGTTATTTAGCCAAAGAACAGCTTTACTTCTCTAATCTCTGGCTTTCCTGCAGTGACAGGCAGCAGTCATCGCTCCACCATGTCTTGTCTCTTATCTCCTCTGCCTCACAAAAGGGCAAGATGACCTTCCGTTATAGTCAAGACAGCACTTTTTTTTTTGTCCATCTCTATGTCATGAGTTGAAAATTCATCTCAGTGCTGCTCAAGAAACTCCTCACTCACATCTCCTCTTCCTTCACAAATCACAGCTATTTCTCGAAATCTTTTCCTTTTACCTGGCTACTGTATGATTAAAAAGTTCAGTGCAAATTGAATTTTGCAGATTTCAGAGCAAAAAGGTTAACTCTAATTGCTTGTGAATTTCATTGACTGAACCTTCTAGGGATTCGACGTGACTAAAATCTTGATAACATTGATGAAACATGTGAAAACATATATTTAGAAGACAAAAAAAAAACAAGATTTGAGCCTGAATGATGTGTAACAGTCAGTGTAGATCTCACCTCGGAGAGCTGCGCCCTGTAAAGAGACTTGTTGCAATGGAGAAGCTGAGCAGCCAGGTTACAGTCCTTCCTGTACATGTCCTACGGAGACACAATCAGAAGACGAGAAATAACATTCAAGGATGAATATGCACTAGTGTTGGTGAGTATTTTCATCATCGCCACTGATTATTCTACCCCCGAAACTTTCTTTGCCTCGAAAACTGAAAGTCTGACTGTTGATAGCTGCAAATATCACGTTCTCTTTGCTTTTATGCAGAATTATGAAGGTTAATAGAAGCAAAAGCGTCTCTCAATGCTCGTGTGTGATCAGTTTTGCTGTGACAACCTTAGCCAAGCATGACAGAACAAAGTTGTGAAAGTATCTTGTTTAGCCGTTTTTTGTTCAAGGCAGGTAAACGAGATGGAGCTATCAATATGCTTTATTTTATTCTCTCAAGATGAAAAAACAACGAGGCTCTTACGTTGTCTTCTTGTAGCTTCTCGATGGTGAGCTTTGCCTCCATCAGGTGGTTGTTGAGGACGATGATCTCTCTGCTAAGCGCTCGCTTCTCATCGTCGTGGTGCTGAGACTGATGACGAGAGAGCCGTTTGTACAAATTGCCAGCATGGAAGGAAGACCTACAGATTTTTAAACACTTTGAAGTTTTCCGTTGAAACAACACTCATCAAAGCGTGCGTCCCACTTTTTACAATCTTTTAATTAATCAAATTCCACTACAGTAATTCACAGAACTGACCACATTTGCCATGACTTGTCTGTGTTCAGGTTTATAATCAATAGTTTGTCACTGAATATACGCTTTGATGATTTTGTTACTTTTTAACATGGTAACAAGCCGAAGAACCCTATATTGTTACCACCTTTACTAAGAGTGGACACTAAAGACACACAGAGCAACTTCGCACATTGAGTATATAAGTGGCAGCAAGATATGCTGTGTAGCTGATTTTTTTTGGTTACTAGGTTAACCAAGAAAGCATGACGTCAGTAAACTGGCTGACGAAGACAGAGTCCAGGTTTGTGTGAAGTTTTCATTCATTGCATGCTAATTCTCCACTAGTGTTTGAGGTAAGTATGACATGAGAGCTGCAATAACAAAAAGTGGCCTTGTCTGCAAAGGTTTTGTTGAACCCGTGTAGCTGTGCGAATACAAGCACACACAAACTATATCACTGTGTTTATCTGTCTTGTAATTACATCCTCTAGTTGTGCAGGGCCATGGGGTCAGATGGGTTTGTGGCACCTGTGGAGTAAACAAGTTTTACAATTACAGAGAGACTTATTCAGCGCCTCTCTCACCCTTGAGAATGGAATACGTGCGATGAATAAATAGCAGCTGATGAGGACGCTTCAAGAGAATAAAAAAGCTGTTGGCGTTTCTTTAAAAAAAAAAATGACCATTTGTCTTGTCGTAAAAAGCCGGGTGACCCTCAGCTCCTCACTGACATCTGGTATCTACCTGCTGTAGCGTTGTAATCACGCCAAGGGCAGCGATGAGTATTACCTTGTGCTGTAACAAACCTCGTCGCTGAGCGTTTTCAGCTGCCTATTCAACAGCAAAGACACCTGATTGTCATACAGTGTTCTCAAGCAGGCTAGTTAATTGTATCTTTCCACCGGCAAAAGCAACATCTGACAAGTGAAGTCAGGTGCGACGCACTGAGGTACAATGGGTTTGCTATCACTCTGCCGTTGGAAGGAGGACAGCCAATTGTAATAGGCCATAATTAACTCCAGCGGTACCGACAGCAGGGCATATTCATATTCAAATTGGCCCTCCAAATGTTCTACACCATGTCTAAACCCCATGACTTGCAAAGGGACTTCTCTTTCTTCTACAGGTACTTTAGCATTAGCGTGTGACTGGATGCATCTCACACACACACGCACACACACGGAGGCTTACACACTTACATTCCTTTGGATCTTTTCCTCCAGATCCTGGTTGATCCTCTGCAGTGCCGAGTAGCTGCTTTGTATTCTAAATGACACAATAGACGACGTAGCTCACTTGCAGATAATAGTTTGTACATATCAGCCGGAGACTCCAAATCGGCATTCTCAGCAGTACACAAGTCAGAGCTAAATTGGATGCCACGGTTTCAGTTTACAGCACTTGAAAGTCATTTTGACATCTCACTGACCTCCCTCTGCTGATGTGATGATTAAGTGAATGTTTTATTCTGTTATATGTGACCCAGAAGGCAGGGGTATACTGTTTAAGGCAAGATAATGATGTGAATTACTCACTCCTTATGCCCGGTGGATCTCAACCTGGGGTGGGAGGCTTTTACGGTGTACCACAAGGTGCAATTCTTGGTCCATAATTATTTAGATTTTTTACAAGTACTATTGTTGTTGTTTTTGCTGTGCCTATTTCCAAGCAGAAGACTTGGCCTTAAATGCATTTTGGCTCTGCTCCAATTCGAGCATTGTCAAGATTACAATCTGCTTTTGACACTTTTCAGAAACGGCTCCTGGACATGTGTCAAATGCTGGTAAGACATTTGTTTCATTCACAAAAACCAAGAAACAATACTTACTCTTACTTGTACTCATAAACTAACAGTAAATAGTACTTGACTATAGGGTCAAAGGTACTTTGTTAAGACACTATTTTACAGGTTTGTATTTCCTTATAATCTACAGGGAATAGTCCTGGAAATGATTTCATAATTTTGTACTAAAAATGTAAATAGAGACAAAATGTGTCTTTGGTTTCTTTGTATTAAATGTTTCTCTTTACATGAAAGAAAAAAACATCCAGTCTGTGCTTGATTATTGAGATTCTCACACTATGAGAAAAAGCCAGCTGGTCCTTCATCAGCAAGAGAAGAAATGCATACTTTCCTTTCTATTTAGGCTTTGAGGGCCTCCTTCCAAACATCCACCGTATATTACATCTCTCTTCAATTTGAAAGCTGCTGTTCACTGTACCAGAACATAACACTAGCTAACTTTAGACCCCCATGAGAAAATACTGAAAGTTCAGTGCATCGCTTCATGGTATATAACTGGAGTGAAAAACAAAGGATTGATAGCTTGAATGTCTCATCTCACTGGATCAATTGAACCTTTTAACTGTGGGCATTTTTGGATAGGATTGTTTTGGATCCTGTTTGTATTCACATGTGTGACTGGGCTATCGTTGTTATCATGTTCCCTCTCTATCCATGTTTTCCCTCTGTACTAAGATTCCTCTTACTATTGTGATTTCAGTCTAAATGAGTTTTACTAATTATGAATGAGAATTTTTTTCCACACATCTTTTCACAACGCAAATCCTAAAACCAGAACCAGGACGGAGAGGGGCAGATTGTCAGACCCTGCAGCAGTGAAATTAGAGGTTTTCTAAAGAGACTACTCGATGACACTATCGCTCTTCTCCACAGGGACCGCCAAAATCAACACAAAATTAAAGTTCCTAATTTTTAGGCACTTGAACATGCGCATGTTGTATGTATTGGGGATCTGAACATTTCTTCTACCACCATGTTGTCCAGTATGTACGCGCCTATACCTGCGCAGTTTGTCAGTAAACTTGTCCAGCTCCTCCTGTGCTCGCCGCAGCTCCGTCTCCAGGTACTGCCGCGTGGAGTCGAACTCACTCTGCAGCAGCTCCAGCTTGTGTGTGGTGTAGGAAAGCCTCTTCCGTAAGTCCTCCTTCTGCTCCTGCAGTGAGCTGCACACACACACACACACACACACACACACACACACACACACACACAC